GACTGACCATTGATGACTGGGTTTTTTTTTTTTTTGATGTTACAGGCAATCCCTCAATTATGAGTTTTCTTAAATCTATCTTTAAGTCTAATTTGTATGTAAGTCAGAACAGTTAGGTACGGGTCATATATAACTTCAGTTAAGTGTTTGTCTTAGCATATAGCATACCTTTCTATGCATAAACAACATTAAAGGAAATACTTCCAGATACACTAAAACATCTTTAACATAACAATACTGTGATAATAATATTAATAATAATAATGGTTTGATGACAATCGCAAAGTAGTACCTGTTTGTTATTACGAACCACTGTATGTACCTCGAATTTTTAAGATAATAGGCTTTAAGGGGGTTGATTTATACATATGAGTTGTATGTATGTCCTATGTTCATAACCTGGGGACTGCCTGTACTGCAAATCTAACAGTTGGTCTTAAATGAGAGGGGAAAGAAAGGGAACTACCATTTATTGATTGCTTATTAATTACATACATATATATATATATATATATAAATATTATTTACACCTTTAAAACAACCCTGAAAAGTAGCTATTACTATGACCTTTTTACCAATGAGAAAACAGCTCATTAAATCATTTGCCCTAAATAGTTAACAATAATGGTAGGATTCAAAAAATCTGACTCCAAAAGTTTAAAATCTTTGCCTTAGAATAGGGTGGTTTTTTGGGGGAGTGGTTCTTCAGGTCACTGTTAACTAACACAGTGTGTAAGAGTTATAGGAGTATATGGTTTCTGAATGATGCTACCAGTCAACTCAAAGAGGGAGGAGAGAGAGGGAAAAAATGGCAGAGAGACAGAGGTGTCTCTGATAATAAAATCTGATTTTATTAGTGGAAATTTCTTGCTTACAAAATAATTTGGAAATTTGATGGGGTTGGATAGACTGGTTTTATGGTCCCTCCTGGTTCCTTGATACTATTTCTTGTCACCTTAGAAGGAAGGGTCTCTGCTTCTACTGCCATGCTCCCTCTGGTGGTGTAGTGCCTAAGGCATTTGACTGCTGACCAGAAGGCTGGTGGTTCAAACCCACCAGCCACTCCTCGCAAGGAAAGTTGGGCAATCTACTTCCATAGTGATACCCCTTCGGAAACCAAGGAGGGGTCGCTATGAGTTGGATCCAACTCAACGGCAGTGAGTTTTGTTTTGTTTTAGATGTTTCCTTGGAGTGCCTGGGTGGTGCAGATGGTGCTACTAACCGAAAAGGTGGAGGCTTGAATTTGAGTTCACCCAGAGATGCCATGGAAGAAAGGCTTGGTCATCTACTTCTGAAAAAATCAGCTATTGAAAACCACATGGTGCACAGTTCTCCCTGACACCCATGGAGTTGGCATTAGTTGCAGCCAACTTGATAGCAGCTGGTTTAGCAGTTTCCTTAAAGTAGTCCATGTTCCAGAGAGAATCTGGCTGGATTAGGAGTATTTTGCAACCCATAGGAAATGTGCTTGGGCTGGATATAAGGTTATATTTATGCTTTATTAAAAAAAAAAATGCCAATTGAAATGAATTTCTTCATTTTTTCTAAAGCAATGTTATCAACATATGAATCAACATATTCATGTTATTTTTTATTAAAGGCCTTCTATAAAGTTGAAATCAAGCCATATTTAAAATATGTCCCTTCAGCTATTAATTTATGGCTTTAATATTTAACAGCTAATAACTAGTGAATAGCTATGCAAAATAGTCGTGAAAAATAAGACATGAATCCAAATGAGGTATGTGTAACTTTTTTCTTTAAAAAATGTTTTATGAGTTATATTGATAATAAATGTTTAAAATTTACAGATAAAATTGGAAAAGGCTGCTAAGCAGAAAGGAAAAGCATCATTGTCATCAACTGCAAAACCTTCATGAGGACTATTGAGGAACTAAAACCATTATCCAAATACATCTTTTTCATGTTTATTTAATTGTAATAATACAATTTATTTTCCCTCATGTTAATTACTTCCTTTACTGTATAAAACTCTTATTTCTTTAATTTATTTAAATAGGAGACAATATATTACTTTTGATTCACAACTTTGTATATACTTTTTATGTTTCCTATCACATGAGATTATTTTTATATGAATCAAAACATAAATGTATAGTAAATATTTTTAGTTTATCATAAGTCAGCTTTTTTAGGCTGTTTGAAAAATTAAAAGTATTATTGAGGTTTTTGAATACATATATAAGGGTCATACTTTTCATTCCAAATAATAAGTTAAAATCCTTAATTTTTTACTTTTCCAACTTTGTAATGTTGATCTGTATTTCTGAATAAAAAGTTGTACGTTGAAACTCTATAATTTTCTATAGTATATCTGTTGATTTTTAAGTTCTGTTGTTAATTGTATTTGTATATAACTATTGGACACCTCTTGTGTGCTGTTAAGTTCAGTTTCAAATGAACAAATACTATTTTGGCTTTGTTTATTGTTTAGCATCTTTGCTGTTTTTTGATGCTTGTTATGAAAGTAAAGTCTTCATGGCCCCATTTCTTACTTTGGTATTGCTGTGAAACACTTCCAGTGGGCTTCAGACATTAAAGCTCTCTGGGAGCCATTTGACAAGTTGAACGATGCCTTGGGCCCATATCACAACTCCTTTTTCCCTAGGCATGCTTTGACAGGTGGCTTGGGATGCCCATTTTAACTCCTCTGCATCATACATGTGCAGCCCAAAAGTATAGGGGAGCTAATGACCTTTACCAGTTGGGGGCAAAGCCAATAGATAAATGCTCCCCATTTTTTTCTTCTGGGAAGACAATTCTAAGATGCATTTCATAAGCTTCCTTAGAAAATCCTGTGGGATTGAGCACTAGTCATCTATGGTAGTGACCAACTCAATTATACATCCTCAGTTAGCTTTCTCTTTTTTCCTGTTCCATTCCTATATCCCTCACTCTGATTCCTTCAGATCACTTCCAAAATAAATTACATGTAATGTAATGTCTTTAGCTCTGCTTTTGAGCAAGAATAAACCCAGGCTAAGATGATAGGCACCAGGAATGTCCTTAGAAAGCAAACCCTCAGGATGGAATTCTATGACTGGATCGGTCACTGGACAGGTGGCCATCAGAGCCCCCATAACTGGTGTTAAGTGGAGCAGTGATACTTTCAAGCAAGCAGGAGCATCATAATTACTGCAGGTGGAAGGTGAAGTGATAGGCTATGCATAGTTGTGGCATTAGGGCTGAATGGAAGTTAGAGGAAATTATAAAGATCCAAGGTACTAGATCCAAAAAAAAAAAAAAAACCTCACTGCTTTCGAATCTAACCTGACTCACAGTGACCCCTCCTTGGGTTTCCAAGGTGGTATCACTACGGAAGTAGATTGCCCAACCTTCCTTCTGAGGAGTGGCTGGTGGGTTTGAACCGCCAGGCTTCTGGTTAGCAGTCCAATGCCTTAGGGTTTGTTGTTGTTGTTGTTGTTAGGTGCTGTCGAGTCATTTCCGACTCATAGCGACCCCATGCACAGCAGAACAAAACACCACCCGATCCCACGCCAGCTCCATGATCCTTGCTATACTTGAGCCCATTGTCACAGCCACCGTGTCAATCCATCTTGTTGAAGGCCTCCCCCTCTTTCGTCGACCCTCCACCTTACCAAGCATGACATCCTTCTCCAGGGAATGGTCCCTTCTGACAACATGACCAAAGTAGGTGAGATGAAGTCTGACCATTCTCGCTTCCAAGGAGCATTTCGGCTGCACATCATCCAGGACAGATCTGTTAGTTCTTTTAGCAGTCCACGGTACTTTCAGCGTTCTTCACCAGCACCACAATTCAAAAGCATCAACTCTTCTTCGGTCTTCCTTATTCATTGTCCAGCTCTCACATACATATGAGGCAATTGGAAATATCATGGCCTGTTTCAGGCACCCTTAGTCCTCAAGGAGACATCCTTGCTCCTCAGCACTTGAGTTCCTTCACAGCCGACCTTCCCAGTACTACACGTTGTCTAATGTCCTGACTGCTGCTTCCATTGGTGTCCTTAGAAAATCCTGTGGGATTGAGCCCTAGTCATCAATAGCAGTGACCAACTCAATTACACATCCTCAGTTAGCTTTCTCTTTTTCCCTATTCCGTTCCTATATCCCTTACTCTGATTCCTTCAGATCATTTCCAAAATAAATTACATGTAATGTAATGTCTTTGAATCTAGTACCTTGAATCTTTATAATTTCCTGTAACTCCCTTTCAACCCTAATGCCACAACTATGCATAGCCTAACACTTCACCTTCCACCTGCAGTAATTATGTTCCTGCTTGTTTGAAAGTATCACTGCCCCACTTAACACCAGTTATGGGGGCTCTGATGGCCACCTGTCCAGTGACCAATCCAGTCACGGAATCCCATCCTGAGGGTTTGCTTTCTAAGGACGTTCCTGGCCTTAGGGTTAGCTATTATTAATTACTTTAGAAGGCTTGAAAAAAGAAAATGGCTTAGGTTACCCACCAATAAACTTAAGACATGGGGTGAAAGCCAGAGTGCCTCTATAGTACTGCTGAAGGAAAATCTCATCTGCAGCTGCAATGCAGACTATGCTGACAGTTGGGGTCCAATGTTATAGCAAAAGTGACAGGGCTGCAAAGGGAACTGCATGAACAGTGTCAGTGGTCTCCTGTGTCAAAGTCAGCATTTTTCCAGGAAAAGAATGGAACCTTGAATTATGGGGTGGAGACATTTGGATTGGTGAGCTGAGAATCTTGAACTCGGGTTTTCTTGAATTTCTTGGCTGACAGAAGCAGCCTCTCCCACTTTGCTAGAGAGCAGCTTGCCCTTACCAGGAGATCCTGCAAAGACTTAACTGAGGTAATTGCATTGCAAGATGACACCTGTCCTCAAGACCCACTCTTGCTACCTCATTGACTCCAAACTGCTAAACTATAGGGTCAGGTTTCAGTATACCCCAACTAGGGAAATATGTGCTTCCTCTAGGAGAGGAGGTTATACTCAGATTAAACTACAGATCCTGGTTAATATATATATTGCCAAGAACCCAGGAAACATGTCTGAGAGTAGACCTTGAGGGTATTAGAACAAAGGGTGACTTGGGGGTGGGATATAAGCTTAATAGGGGAGAATGGGGAGCTCTCGTGGTGTAGTGCCTAAGGCATTTGACTGCTAACCAAAAGGCTGGCAGTTCAAACCCACCAGCCACTCCTCAGAAGGAAGGTTGGGCAATCTACTTCCGTAGTGATACTGCCTCAGAAACCCAAGAAGGGTCGCTATGAGTTGGATCCGACTCGATGGCAGTAGGTTTGGTTTTTTTGTTTTTTTTTTTCAAGGGGAGAGTGATATGGGAGTACTCTCATGACTCAGGCTTTAATACTCTGGCAAAGATATCTGGAGTCACTCCTAACATGCAGCCAGTATGGCTCCTTGAAGATAAATGATGGTGGTCATGTTAAATCTTACTTGGCCTAGTATTGACAAAGGGGTCAAAAGGCTCAGGGAAGTGGGAATGTAGAGTGGATTTATTATTTAAGACTGGAGAATGTACTACCTAATTGTCTTCACTCAGTTATGCCAAGATATTTGGAAGACAGCTACCTGGCCAACTGACTGGAAGAGATCCATATTTGTGCCCATTCCAAAGAAAGGTGATCCCACAGAATGT